CAATGATTTCTTGGCTATGACACCAAAAGCACAGGCAATAAAAGAACCGATAGATAAACTGGACTTCACCAAAATGAAAAACTCTCGTGCATCCAAGGATGCTATCAGCAGTATGAAAAGGCAACTCGCAGAATGGGAGACAACATTTGCAAATCATGTATCTGATAAGAGATTAACGTCTGAATATATACAGAACCCCTACAACGCAACAAGAACAACAAAACAACACGATTAAAAAATGGACAAAGGAGTTGAATAGACATTTCTCCAAAGAAGATATACAATGGCCAATAAGCATATGAAAAGATGCTCAACATCGCTAATCATTAGGGAAATGCAAATAAAAACCACAATGAGATACTATCTCACACCCATTAGGATGGCTATTATTAAAAAAACAAACAAATAGAAAAGATGTGTTGGCGAGGAAATGGAGAAATTAGAACGCTCCTGTATTGCTGGTGGGAATGTAAATTGGTGCAGCTACTGTGGAAAACAGTATGGTCGTTCCTCAAAAAATTAAAAATAGAATTACCATGTGATCCAATAATTCCACTTCCAGGTATTTACCCAAAAGAACTGAAACCAAGGGCTTGAGCAGACATTTGTACACCAGTGTTCATAGCAGGATTATTTGCAGCAGCCAGAACGTGGAAATGATCCATTGATGGCCGAATGGATAAACAAAATGTGGTCTATCCACACTATAAAATATTACTCAGCCTCAAAAAGGAAGGAAATTCTGACACAGGCTACACACGGATGAACCTTGACAACATTACACTGAGTGAAGTAAGCCAGTCACAAAATGACAAATACTGTATGAATCCACTTATTTGGGGTCCCTAGAGAAGACAAGTTCATAGAGACAGAAAGTAGAATGGTGGGTTCCAGGGGCTGGGGAGGAGGAGGCAATGGGGAGTTGGTGTGTAATGGGGACAGAGCTTCAGTTCGGGAAGATGAAAAAGTTCTGGAGATGCATGGTGGTGATGGTTGCACAACAAGGTGAATGCACTTAATGCCACTGAACGGGACCCTTAAAAATGGTTAACATATCAACCATATATCAAAAACATCTTGTACCACAATTTTAAAGGTGCATAATTTTTTTAAAGACGACATGATTATTCTGGCAGCAGCCATTTGCATTCCTCATTCCAGTTTGCTGAGCTTCAGTCTGAAGAATTTGCATTTCCTGAGCTCACACAGATCGCCGACCCGGGAAAGGCCCGATGTTTGGATGGAGTGGAGAGAGCTGACCTGGCCTGAACATGGGCCGGGCGAGAGCCCCCAGGAGAGGACCCCCAGCAGATAACTGAGTCACCCTCATGTCTTATGGCTCGCTGATAGCTTGTGGCTATGTCACCCAGGGAGGAAGACAGAAGCCCAGTGGTTAGCGTTACCTCTCCCGCTGGCCCAGTGCTGGGAGCTCCTGGGAACCAGAAAATTGGATGGCAACGGGCAGTGGCTGACAGGGGTGGGCACGGGTGTCACCATGGGGATGAGAAGGGAAGCACTGTGGGCCAACCCCTATGGGGAACGGCCCTACGCATTTCACGAACAAGAAAAACAATCTTCCAGATTACAAAACCTGGATGGAAAGCCCACGAGGATGGGAGGACCAAGAAGAGGCTGCGCCAGGCTGTGTCGGGTTTGCCTGTTCTCTTCGGGATTTACTGGAATCTAGGATGCCCTGTTTCTAATGAAAAAACACAACATTTAACCATGCAAACATATAATTGAGGAGTGAGTGTTTATGTTAAAATTACCGGGGATTATAAACGGAGTCCCCTCAACTCTGACTTCCTCGACACATGTGAGGACGAGCATGTTTACAGTCCTGGCAGGGAAGTTTACCAACGGAGAAACCTTACAGCTCCAGCATGGAGAGTGCCCGCTGCCGTGGAGACTGACCACCAAAGACGCACGTGGAATCATCTTGGGACCTCGCCCTGCATTACAGGAAGGTCCACCCTATGGAGAGCGCCAGGCCGGCCCTTCCTCCTGCATCCTCCGCGAACTCCAGGCTTCCCTGGGCGTACAGGCGGCCGGCGTGCAGCAGGGACAAGCCCCCCTTCAGGCCAGCCTCCCCGAGCTCGGCTCTTTTTACTGACTCAGGAGCACACACACTGTCCAGGGGGAGGAGGACAAAGAAAGGCTGCCAGCAGGTGGATAAAGGGCATCTTTCCTGGCTCCCCCAACCCAGCATTCCATACCTCCAAGCCCCCAGAACCTGTGTCCCCAGGACTGGCTGGCTGCTACCACGTCTGTTCTTGCCGCTGATGCTGAGAGGTGGTCTGGTCAGACTGTACCCTGAGGGCAAGTCTGGGACCCTCAGAGGGCAGGGGTCCTTCCCCTCCTTTACCATGGTATTTTAACAATAACAATAACAGTAATAGTAATAACAGCAATAAAAATAATAGCGAACATTGAACATTTACAATGAGCCAGGCATTATTCCAAGCACTTTCCCTAAACCAATCCATGTCGCCCTCATGGTCACCCTGGGTAGGCTTTAGTGTCACCTGCATTTAGCAGATAGACAAACTACAGCCTACAGAGGTTAACTAACCTGCCCAAGGTCACACAGCTAGTTAAGCGCCAGGATTCCCGCCCCTCCTCTGGCTGGGGCCTCTCCACAGGCCGGTGTGCTGTGCCTACCAGCTCTCGGGAGGTTTCCGCCCTGGCCAGTGGGCGGGCGGCGGGCAGGACAGGCTCTCACCACCTCTGCTGGGAGCTCCCTGAGGCCTGGGGCCCTGGTCCTTCCAAGTCATGGGACCTTCCGGAGCATTTACCCCCCCCACACTCCACCCCAGGGGCTGTGCGTCCCTCTGCCCTGCCCAGCTGGGAGCTCTCAGAGGGCAGGGACCCGACACGTCCTCAGGAGAGCGTCCTGGGGCAGAGCCCGTGCAGGGCGGCTTGTCAGACACCTTGGCTGTCCTTGCCCGGCACAGGCCCCCGGGCCCCGCAGGAGCCGACGGCTTCCTCTGGCCCCAGCTCCAGGCTGGCGGAGCTAGCGTGAGGTCAGCCTGCCCCTGGGACTGAACAGGCAGTAAACAAGCCCATTCACGCGTCAGCTGTTTTGCTCCAGAGCAGCCGCTTCAGCTGGACGGGCTCTGAGCAGACCCCTCCAAGTGTATCCCTGAGGTGGGGAACAGCGGATGGCCTGGAGCCGGGCCACCCGTCCCTTCCGAGGAGGGGCTACCTTCCGTTCTCCCTTCCGTTCTCCGGAAGTTTGAGAGTTTTCTTGGGGAGAGGCGGCCCCTGAGGGGGTAGGGACTGGGGTGCTGCTGCTGCCTGTGTGGTCTCTCTACCCGTGTGGCCCGCCTGTGTGGTCAGCCTGTGTGGCCTGGCTGTGTGGCCCGCTTGTGTGGCCCGCCTGTGTGGCCTGCTATGTGGTCAGCCTGTGTGGCCTGTGTGGTCAGCCTGTATGGCCCGCCTGTGTGGCCTGCCTGTGTGGCCCACCTGTGTGGCCTACGTGGCCTGCCTGTGCAGTCAGCCTGTGTGGCCTGTGTGGTCAGCCTGTATGGCCCGCATGTGTGGTCAGCCTGTGTAGCCTGCCTGTGTGGCCCGCCTGTGTGGTCAGCCTGTATGGCCCATCTGGTCAATCTGTATGGCCCGCCTATGTGGCCTGCCTGTGTGGCCCACCTGTGTGGCCTGTGTGGCCTGCCTGTGTGGTCAGCCTGTGTGGCCTGTGTGGTCAGCCTGTACGGCCTGCTTGTGTGGCCTGTGTGGCCTGCCTGTGTGGTCAGCCTGTGTGGCCTGTGTGGTCAGTCTGTATGGCCCGCTTGTGTGGCCTGCCTGTGTGGTCAGTCTGTGTGGCCTGTGTGGCCTGCCTGTGTGGTCAGCCTGTATGGCCTGTATGGTCAATCTGTATGGCCCGCCTGTGTGGCCTGCCTGTGTGGCCTGTGTGGCCTGCCTGTGTGGTCAGTCTGTGTGGCCTGTATGGTCAGCCTGTATGGCCCGCCTGTGTGGCCTGCCTGTGTGGCCTGTGTGGCCTGCCTGTGTGGTCAGCCTGTGTGGCCTGTATGGTCAGCCTGTATGGCCCGCCTGTGTGGCCTGCCTGTGTGGCCTGCCTGTGTGGTCAGCCTGTGTGGCCTGTGTGGTCAGCCTGTGTGGCCCGCCCGTGTGGTCCCTTGGAGGGTCCCAGCAAACCAAAAAGGAAGAAAAGAATAGCGGTCAGCTGAGAGATGCCCAGAGACCCTTCCAGAACCCCTGCAGCAATCGGGCCTCAGGGCTTGGAACAGTTGGCCAGGACCCCTTAAGCCCCAGACTTCTTTCTTCCTCTCCTCTCCCTTCACTCCCCAGACTGTCACCTGTGTCCAAGCTGTTCCACAGGCCCAACCCTGTCAACTGAGGCAGAACAAGAGAAGAAGATGAGGGTCCCTGTGTGGCATAGACAGGGGTGGGGACCAGGAAGCTGCATTAGGGGCAGAGGTTTGTGGAGGAAGGAACCTGAGGAGTAGAAACTGAGGGCCACGGGGGAGGGACAAGGGGGCTGGGGACCCTGGCGAGGGGAGCAGAGAAAACACCACTGCTCCCTTCTCGGGGGCTCCCACCTCCACGCTCTCATTCTCTCTTCTTCACAGCCGCCCAGGCAGACATGGGACATCATGCTCTCTTGACAAATGGGCAAGCAGGTTAGGGTGTCCAAGGTCCGCCCAGAGCTAGCAGAGAGCTGGGGCGAACACCATTGTCCAGGCCCTTCCTGCTGGCCTTTGGAGGGCAGAGGACCCGGGAGGGAGGGGCGGGCACACCAGAGAATGATGGCCACAGGGCTCGGGACGGAGGCCCCACCCACACCCCAAGTCTAGAACGTACCCCATCAAACGTCAGGCGCAGTCACAAGCATGTGCCAAGGCCCGCACAGCCCCCCAGTCACAGCCCAGCAAACCCAGACCCCTGACTCCATTCCCCCCCCACTTTCCAGGAATCCCGTTCCGACCGGCTTTCTGTGGTCCTCCCCGGCTCCCTCCCCAGCATCCAGGGCGCCGCCCTACCCGGTCGTGATGTCGTCGTCCTCCGTCATGGTCTTGCCCATGAGGTCGCTGTCACTCATGTAGCCGGACTTGAGGTCCACCTCGTCCGAGTCCAGGGACTCGACCAGCTCCAGGCGGGAGATGTGGCTGAGCTTGCTGGGGCTGCGCATGGGCATGGTGTGCGAGTACTGGGTCCGCTCCCCGTGCATGTACCAGGCGGGCGGCCCCTCCGAGCGGCAGCTCCCGCCCACCGAGGGTGCGTCGCCAGCCTGCAGCCGAGGGCTGGACTGGCCATAGCGCCAGGACAGGGGGGACGAGCGGTTGGAGAGGCTGGACACGCTGCGAGGGTTGGCGTCGTCGCTGTCATAGCAGGTCATCTCCAGGGAGCTGGGCAGAGAGCAGAGGGCACTGCTTTACTCTTGGGCACGGCTGCTCTGCGCCCCATCCGCCCACACTGCACCCCGGCAAGGCCCCCTCTCCACCTGCCCATTCTCCTTCTCCAGGGGCCTCTCACTGTGGACGGCAGCCTGTTCCACGTCAGCTCAGGTCATCAGAGGAAAGTGGCTAAGCCTTGGGGAAACAGTCTGACATATTGCTAAGGGCCCAGGTTGTGTACTGCGGCCTGGGGTGGAACCCTTTTCTACTGCTCGCTAGTAAGTGAGCCGGAGGAGGCGGAGCAGCCATGCCAAGCCTCCGTCTGCTCATCTGTGAAATGGGATTACAGCACGACAGTACTTCACGGAGCTGTAAGAATCACGTATGTAAAGACCTGACACGGTGCCTGGTCCACAGAAGCTGCTCCCTAAGCAAACGGGGCCGGTGAGGCCTCCTGGAGAAGCGGAGAGACTGGTCCCCTGAGCTTAGAAGGGCTCCTTCCTTCTGTTCAGAGTGTGACCATCTCCTCTTTTCTACTAACGAGCTGAGGGCCGGTCAGTTCCCCAACTGGAGATAGGGAAGTCTGCAGTGGGGTTCCGAGAGTACAAGAAAAGCTTTGGGAGCCTGGGAGGTATGGCTGGTTCCCAGTAAGACCAGTCCAGCCCAAGGCCTAGGCATCAAGGGAGGAAGCAGAAGCTCCTCAGAGGACAGAAGTAGCTTTAACTGGACAGAGGAGAGCACACGGGCAATGGACAGATGAGGGGCGAGGGCAGGAAGTCCAGGGTCCCAAGCTGCAGGCCCCACTGGCCAGGGGAGGGAAGCGATGACCAGGTTAGTGCTGGACGGTGGGAGCCTAGGGGCATCTGGGAGCTGGCAAAGCAGGTGCCTTTCTCCCTCGGGGGCCAGGGTGGCTGCAGCAGCGAGCACAGTTGAATCTGCTTGGAGAGGTGGCCTGGATGCGGGTTCAGGCAGAAACAGATAACCCCACCCAGTGTGGCGAGGGTGCCCGCCCAAGTCAGCCGTATGCAGGGGCTCAGCAGCTTGGCCTGACTAAACCAGACGGGGTTGGGTAAGTGAAATAGGATCTGGGGGCCATGAATGCTGGGCAGCCATGCAAGTGCAGGAATCGTCCCTCTGAGAACATGTCCATTTCGTAGTCACCCTGGGGGTTAGGAGGGGAGCTAGACATTGATTTTTCTATTCTTGTTTTTATAAAGTTTCTTGAAAAAAGAGAAAAAGCTTGTCAGATTGTCTCTACCAACCCTGAGGAAACAGGGTTTTCTTTTTCTTTTTTTTTAAATTTTCTTTTCCTTTTTTTTTGAGGAAGATTAGCCCTGAGATAACAACATCTGCTGCCACTCCTCCTCTTCTTGCTGAGGAGACGGGCCCTGAGCTGACATCCATGCCCATCTTCCTCCACTTCATATGTGGGACGCCTGCCACAGCATGGCTTGACAAGCGGTGTAGAGGTCTGTACCTGGGATCCAAACCGGCGAACCCCGGGCTGCCGAAGCAGAACGTGTGAACTTAACCACTGCGCCACTGGGCTGGCCCCAGCAGGGTTTTATTTTTGATCAATGGAAAGGGAGGGAACCGAATGGCCCTTGACCCTGGGCCTGATGGTCGCTGTGGAAGTCCTGTGGTGAGCCGAGGGACCCTGGCTGGGCAGGGCAATGAGTGACCGCTGCTTCTGACCCTTGTGTGTCTTCCTGACCTGGTCCACAGCCGGCTTCTCCCCTCCGGGCCCTCCTTTGTGTTCTGCATAACTTTGTCACACGCTGTGCTATTTCTGTTTCGAAGGACCGTGGCCCTCGGAGAGAGTGGACGTTCCCCGAAGGACAGAATGTGGTCCTGCTGACCGTCTGCCTCGCTCACCACCGCACTTCAGTGCTCTCGCAGGGCCTGGCGTGCAGTGGGTGCCGGGGACGAAGCGATAAGCAGCAAGCCCTCGACGCATGCGCTGGGTTGAAGAGCGGGGATATTCTCGTCGTGACAGTTCAGGACCTCGTGCAGAAAGTGCTCAGTAAAAACAGGCTGCACGACAGTGCGATGAGGAGGAGAGGGAAGAGGAGGAGGACAACCACGAAGCCGGGATGATGTAGGGCCAGGTTTTGAGTTAGTCTACACCACGGTAATAAAATTAGTGCCGGGCGTGGGCTGTGCCAAGCACCCCGATGCCTCAGGCCCGTGCCCGGCCCACGTCCTGTTTCACTCTCTGCACTCGACATGCCTCCTGCTTGATTTCACTTTTCCATCCTCCAGACACGTCTCTGGACATCTCTAAGTCGGGGGCGGGGGGGCGGATTCTAGCTCAGCGCTGCGGTCCCCGACCTCCAGTCCCGCCCGCATCCAGCCCTTGGGTCCTGCCTCTCACTGGGGTGGGGACGGCGGTGGGCCAGGAGCAGGCAAGGGAGTTTCATTTCCTCTCTGGCCCCAGCCCCCTGACCCAGAGCCAGTAGAAATAGAGGAAGCAGAACAGGAATAAAGGTCTCTGAAAAGGAATTGAATCTAGAATGAGCCTGTAGGTTCCAGAGTGGAAATAACCTTGCTGGAAGCACACCCTGGACTGTCAGCCTCAAGGACGGAGGCCGTGTTTGTCCTGAGGGTCAGCGGCTGACCCGGGTTCTAAGGCTGCTGGATGTAGCACCCCCTCACCCCCATCAGCCTGGGTGACTCTGTGGGACTCCGGCAAGCGTCCCCTCTCTCCCGCCTCTGCATTCCTTCTCTAACCTGGGGGGTCTGTACGAATCCTGTCAACTCTGGGGCTGAGGGAAGGGCTGAGGGATGGAAAGCACTTTGAAAACTAAAAGATCCATAAAAATTCAAGGGATCACTGTTTGGGCTATCAAAGTGTGGGACAGGAATAATCTAAACCAAAGGCTAAGAGAGGAAGTGGCTCTGGGTCCACAGTAAACAGAAAAGCCAGCCTCAGGGCTCTTGGTTCCTTTCCCGTAAAGGGAGACAGAAGCCAGAGGCCTGAGCTCTCCCCTCAGACCAGTCAGCCTGATGCAAAAGGCTCTCTCAGGCTCCCTCTCCCCCCACCCCCTGCCCAATAGGAAAGCAAACAAGGCTGCTGGGGTCAAGCCGTCCTGCTTAACCTGGGGGCTGGGGGCCGGCTGCTCAGACTCAGGGCCCAGGAGGCTGAGCTGCTGCCCTTCCCCTGCAGTGACTCACGCGGGGTGTGACACTCTCAGCAACTCAGCACTTTCTGCCTTCTTTGGCATGGAGCTGGAGGGGAATTGTGCCGAGACTGCTTCCAACAACTTCCCCGGCTGGGGGATGGAGGACATTCAAGGTTTCATCTCCCGGGCCCCTAAAATGGTGAGCCAAGCTGAGCCAGACCCACCCTTGTCCCACTTGGGTTCCTGCTCAGGGCTGGGAGGGCTGGAGGCTGGGGACATGTAAGGGGCCTGAGTCCCGGGCCTCCTGGAACCCCGCCATCCACCTCCTTGGTCACATCCCTTTCGGTAGTCAGGGTCCTCTGGCCTGAGAAGGGGGAACCCCAGAGAGTAGGGGCTTTGATTTATCATTTAAAGTATTCCAGATGTTGGGGAGCAATGGGCTGAGTGTCCAAGATGGAGGGTGGCATGGGGCTATGGGGAGGAGCAGTGGAGGCGGGGAGAAGGGTGGTCTTAAATAGGAGAAGTAGAACCACTGGGTGGATGCTGCTGGCCCCTGATTTAGTTCCACTTCATCGTCACGGCAATCCCATCACAGTGGACTGGAATGATTGAGAGGTAATGAGCTCTCTGTTGTCGGAGGTATGTAAATTTAGTCCGGATATCACTTGGCCACACACGGGGCTAAGAAAAGCCCCTTTCCCCCCATTGCCCCCACATCCCAACTTTGCTCTCATTTTCCAACCCCAAGAGATGGGGAGGAACCCATCTCCAGTCCAACTGAGAGGCTGCCTAGTCCTGTCGCAACCTTCCTCCTCCACACCCCCAATGATTTCCCAATCCTGGCTGTCTGCTCTCTCCTTCTACCCCTCCGAGTGTCGCCCGGCCCTCTGTCCCCCTTGGAGCTGACAGCATGAGCTCATCTGGGCAGCTCAGGGAGCCAGGGAGGAAATTCTGAGTCATGGCAGAGGCTGTGGCCAGGATGCGCTCCAGGGTGCTGTGGGAGGGGTAGATGCTGCACAGCTGGAGGGCTGGGGTGGAGAGGCGCGCCCACATGGCATGGGAGCGGGCGACATGGCCTGGGCCCTGCTGGGCACTCAGGGCTCCCTCAGCCACTGGCAAAGGGAAAAGGTCCCGGTGTCAGAAGGTGAAGGCCATGCTCCTGGAATCCTGGATGGAGGGAAACTTCAGAACGGTGGGGGGGAAGCATGGAGTAACCCCTGTGACAAATGTGGAGACGGTGTCTCCGGAGGGAACGTGAGCAGTGGAGTCACACCCCGACTCTCGTGGTTTTCAAGATTATTTGCCTAAAAGAAAATGAACGCAGAGCTCAAGCGGAGGGCAGACAAAGCCAGCCCTCTTTGCCCAGAGATGGCTGGATGCCCCTCTCCCTGAGGTGGCGGCCCCGGGGGGCTCCCAATGTCTGTGTGCTGCAGCCGGTCACCTGCTGACCTCTCGTGCCCACGCGGGGGTCTCGAGAGACCCCGGGGCCCTGCCCTCCAGAACGGGAGACGGAAAGAGGGGGCCGCGGGCATGACCCCTCTGCAGCTCGCGTACCTGTGAGTCACCTGGGACCCCCGCAGGCTGGACATGGTCTCCTCCAGGTTCTGCCGAAGATCCAGGACATTCTGCACTGTCCTCTTCCTCTGGGACTCTGGGTCTGGGAGGGAGAAAAGAAAGAGCCGTGTGAGTGACAAGGACTTGCTGCTAGGAGCTTGAGGGGTCAGGGGAGTGGGGACTGACCAGATCCCCAGAGGTCGGTCTCTGGGGCATGCTGGTCACTGCCTCTCAGGCCCTCCTAAAGGGCCTGGACACAAGCCCTTGAGCCCTCTGAAGTCTCAACCTCATAAGGGGATGCAGACACGGGGCCCCCTGTGTCCGTGCACTCCTCCCAGATGCCCCCAGCCCGAATCACCGCCTCTGCCCCGGCTTCATTTTGGGGAGGCCCTGCTTCTCAGAGCAGAGGTCGTGGGGAGGGTTTCTGTGGCTGACGGCAGTTGCAACACCTGCCTGAAACCACATCTCCAGTGATGTGCTAGTAAATGTTTGACGACTGGCTCCTGGAGGTAGGGACACGCCAGTGTGCACTGTTTGCCCATTTCCGTGGTGCAAATCTTCCTACCACGGCTGCTTCTAAGCACCAATGTGATGTCACTGACCAGAGTCAGGAAGAGATGCTAACGGTGGGCTCTGGGAGCTGGTATGAGCCGGTGTCAGCAGACCACACCCCCTGAGCCCCAGGCACTGAGTGGAAACATCAGAGATGCTCCATGGGGTCCCAGGAGATAGTTCAGAAAGAGCCTCCTAAAAGTGCCATCTTCTGGAGCACGGACTGAGCTCTGGGCAATTCAGACTCCAGACAAGAGGTGCAACGCGGGAGGAGGATGCGTGCGGCTGGCCCCACCCTCAGAATCCTGAGTGATCCCGGTCCTTTTATCCAGCCTGGGGTTTCCAGGTGGGACAACAGCCTGGACACATGAGAATCTACAACAGCAAACAAATTTCTCCCACTTCCTTTCCAGGTGGAACACCATGCAAAAGACTGAGGGGTACCCGAGCGGGAAGAGACTGGAAGAACTCGCTCCTTCTTTCCATCACCCCACCTAGGAAATCCTCAAACACACATGTTGTGCCAGGAACCACGGTAGGCCCTGAGGATGCTGAGAGGAAGAGGGCCTGGCCCTGCCCCATGGACCCAAAGTCACTGGAAGGGATCAAACTTTCAACGCCTCCCGGAAAGTCCATCTATGGGACAGAGTAAGGGACCCACAGAAGACGATGGCAAAGCTTCGAGAAAACCCGAGACCTCAGGCTCCCAGGCTACTTTCCTGCCCTCCATCCTCAAAACCCTCTGCGATCTTCTCACCAAGGCCCAAGTGCCCAGTTGGTCCCTCTGCCACCCACAGACTCAGCTGGAGCAGGAGGCTCTTCTGCTTCTTCGTCTTCTTTTTCTTTTTTTGCTGAGGAAGACTGACCCTGAGCTAACATCCGTGCCCATCTTCCTGTATTTTACACGTGGGATGCCTTCCACAGCATGGCTGGATAAGTGGTGCGTCAGTCTGCACCTGGGATCTGAACCCACGAACCCCAGGCTGCTAAAGCAGAGTGCTGAACTTAACTGCTACGCCCCTGGGCTGGTCTTAGCAGGAGGTTCTTTTAGCCGCCAAGGGGAACATTTCTGAACCCTTTCAAAAGACATTTTTTCCCCAAGATTAAGCTCAAGCCGGCTGGCAGGCACTGCCCTGTCCTGTGGGCTCAGGGAGGCTGGTAGGGCGGGCAGGGAATGGGGCGGCACCACCCCCTCCAGAGCATTCCAGAGAACCGGCTCCACACCCAGACCAGGCCGCCTCTGCTTTCCCTCCCCGGGAGCCTGTAGAAAGCTGGTGGTGGTGGTGGTGGAGCGGGTGGTGGCTCTCTTGTGGTCAGCACCTCGTATCCAGCCTCCATGCTGGTGGCAAGGAGAAGGGACAAATGGCAGGCCTCCATGCCAGGCACCTGAGCTCTGCCCTCAGCCTGGCATCACCTTCTACGGCTGCCAGTGCCCGTTTATCCTGGCAAGTGTCACCTCGTGAGTTGCCCCATGGCTTGGACTGATGGCTTGGCATGGAACACAGACAGGATCAGAAAGTGTATGTATATATTTTAAAGCTTGGTTCTAAAAGGCCTATGCCAGGACGAAGAACACGGTACCAAAGATGTGGGTTCCAGGCCAGGGCAATGCTTTCTATGAGTTTGGCAGAGATGATGGAAAAGGCGTGCTCTCCAAGAGATGCGCGGGCCCAAGAGGAAGTTGAAGGTTTGCTCCGAGGCGTCTGCGCGTGCCTGCCCTCTGCAGGAGTCAGCGAGGTGAGTCCCTACAATGTCTACGGCAGACACGTGCTGCTGTCCCCATTCACGGACGAGAAAACACGCTCAGGGAGACGAAGTGAGCAGCCCAAGGTCACACGCCCGGCCTGCAGCACAGGGCACAGCTGAGTCCAGAAGAAGCTCGTATTTCTTCTGATGTGTCCCAGGGCACCTGCGCCGTGAGCATCACGCACGGTGAGGGCGCAGAGCAGGTGCTCACTGAGCATGTCAAGAGTGGACGGATGCTACACCATACAAAAATACAAAAAATACATAAAAGGAGAAGGGATGGATGCGTGTCCCTTCAGGAAGATGTCTTTTAAAGGTAGAATACTTAGCTCACCGGGTGGCCAGCCGCCGGGTCCCTCTGTGCCCTAATGCTCGAGGGGCAGAGACGGAGAGGTGGGGACCTAGAGCTCCTAGACTTGCCAAAAATTAGAGCCACAGAGTCCTTGGAAGGAGAGACAGGAGGGTGAGGTCCAGGGAGGGGTGACCGGCCGGGGGCTGCAGAGAGATGCTGATGGAAGAACACCGGGCCCCAGACAGCCTCCCCCCAGGGGGTAGGTTTGGGGCATGCAGAGGAGGAGTTTGGGACAGAGGTGACTTGCTGGGGTGACTGGGATCCCCTTTCCGCTTGGAGGCCTGGATGGTCCTGCAGAGGCACGCCCAAAGCTTGCTGGGTGCCGCACCCAGCAGTGTCCCCTGGTGGTCATCCTGAGCATGCCACCCTGGGGGGTAAGGCTCAGCTGGGGGGGTCTGGCGGGTCAGGGTGGGTCTCAGCGGCTCCTGACAAGTCTGGCTGTGCTCCACACTTGTGGGTGACGGACACGATCCTGGGGGTGCAGCAGTAGCCCCAGGATGGGAGGACTGACAGGGATGCGAAGGGAGGGGCTCGGGAGCTCCAGACCCTGCAGACAGTCCGCCTGGGGTGGGGGCATTGGACCCTTCCTCACTGTCTCCCGGGGGACAGACCAGGGGTGGTGGCAGGGGTCAGAGACCGTCTCACACCACCGTGTGGTGAAGAGAACTGGGAAGCTCAGCCATCTGTTTTATCAGCTGAGTCATGATGTGCGGAGCCCGCCTCTGCGTGTCTTTGTCCAAAGCTTGGATGTGAGGTGGGCCCCGGGGACAAAACCGAGCACAGACCAGCAGAGACAGAGGGGCCTGGTGGCTCCACTGCTCCCTCGGTGTCCGTCAGCCAGAGATGCGCTCAGGACACTCCCAGCCTAGGTGGCACCTGTGTGCAGACCAGAAGCCTCTCCAGCCAACTCAGCTCTCACCGGGGCCCACACTGGCCAGCAGGACACGCCTCGCTCCTTCGTCAGATGCCCTGGTCAAGACACACTCACGGCCTTCCTCTGAGCGCCTGGGTGTGTGCGCTGGCTCAGCTCCTACAGCACAGGGTCCAGCTGCCAGAGTGGGGTGTGTGCGTGTGTGTGTGCGTGTGCGTGTGTGTGTGTGCGTGTGTGTGTGTGCGCGTGTGTGTGTGCGTGTGTGTGTGTGTGCGTGTGTGAAGCAGGGCTGGAGGGAGGCCAGGTAAGGCTCCTGGCAGTTCTGGGGGGACACAGATGTCCCTGGCTGCCACTCCAAGCCTTTCCCAGCAAATGGAGCAACCGGGGAGGATGCGTGTGCTCTCCTCAGGCTCAGAAGAGAGCAATAGTCCCCCCAGTCCAGCCATCCCCATGGTAACTCACAGGCGCCATGAACAACAGCATCCTCCCAGCATGCACTAGGGCACTGCAAGGCGGGAGGTCTTCCTTTCTATGCACCGTTGCCTCTTACGCAAGACCACAGAGAGCATACTGTCTTGGTCCCTTTGGATGAAGGACCAGCAGTCAAACAAATCTGACACGCGGGTGCACAACACGCAAATGCAGATGACGCCCGGCTACCGAATGCTCCTCCAGACATTCATGCCTACTCGTGGTGCAGCCGGCAGGAGGTCTGTGGAAGCCCTCACGTCAGAACCATGCACACACAGTTCTGCCATTCTGCAGACGCAGGCATGGAGATTCGTGTGGACGTGTCTCCCATTGCAGGTGAGGAAGGAAAAGCACTAAAGCGATGGAGAGGAGAGATTTAACCTTGAGAGGGGTGGTGCGCTGGAAGGATGCTGGTAAACAGGGTCCTTCTTTCTGCTCCGAAGTCAGAACCGGGGAAACAGGCTTCCCCAGGAGGGCAAGGCATAAACTTGCGAACCAAGACTGAAGCACAGGGCAAGAACTGAGAGTGTGGTGCAGAGGCAAGAACACAGCTCTTAGAGTCAGAGAGACCCAAGTTCAGACCCCGGCACTGCCTTTTCCCAGCCTGTCTGACCTTGAACAAGACCTCTCCCCTCGCTGCAGTTTTCCGCTCTGTAAGATGGGGAGAACCATGGTACCCACCGAGTAGCATCCTTGTGAGGATGAAAGAGCTGATTCATGTAAAATGCTTAGCATGGGGCCTAGCACACAGTAGGTGCCCTATCAATGTAGCACGTGTTTGTCGGAAGGCACGGGGTGCGGGTAAGCGATGGGCGCACACCCAGGCGGGGGCTGGAGCCGGCTCTGGGGCTCTCTTGTTTGCGGGTGGGCGGTGCCACCCACAAGGTGCGGCTCAGGGAGACCCAACATCCTCCTCTGGGACCCCGCTCTGGCTGGGCGAGGCCCTCATACTCGGGTAGGGGGCAATGAGGTGATTGCAAAACCTTGTCCCTGAGTCATCAGGCCTGACTCCCTCCGTGCGGTAGGGACACCACATCTTCAACCCTGGTCCCTTGGAGCATCTCAGCTCTGGGCAATGCCTGGCCTCAGGGGCCTTCTCCAGCCATCAGTC